TCATAACTCAACGTACCACTCTTTAGGTCAATACTACCATTTACCTCTTTTAATAACTCGAATCCTATAATGCCGTCAAAGGTCTTCAAACTGGGTAGGACAAAGAATTCAACATTCTTATTTAATATTTTTCCTGTAAATTTTTTGTTAATTATATCGGTACCATGGACGGATTTGACAGTGAAAGGGTTATTCACAGGTTTTATTCCCTTTAGAGCGTTAAGGTGTTTTTTCATAGCTTTTTGCAGCACCGGTGTCGATTATAAATATTATTCCTCTTCCCCCAAGTGTCCTTTCGACAAAGGGCAAGAGGGACTTAGTCCTAAAAAATTAACGTCGTCCTTCGGTCCGTCCAGGTCATATTCAGCACTCTTGAGGTTCCGTGTCATGATAATAGTCATTATACCCGGTATCACTCCAGTATTCACCTTCCGGTTCGTATTGGTCTTGGGCGATATTGGTGATACGGTGTACCTTTTGTATTGGCAGCTGGTCACTTCCATGCTGTCTTTTTTCANACAACATTTGGGTTGACACATTGTTTTATAGTTTTCATCAGTTCTCCTACTTTATTGAGCGATATTCGGTGCCTCATTCGGGATTTAAATATAATTTTCGAGCTAAGTGCTGTGTGATTTCCTTCTTCAAGGACTATTTGATTCCGAAAACAGTTTATGGGGTTCTTTACAGTGGGAATTGCTTGTGACAGCGACTCTTCGCNAGTACGACGGATCTATGTCCATTGGTACTGGAGTTTGCTGAGTTCGAGTTTGTCCTCGTTGGTCTTGAGGTATTCTACGGTATTGGGGTGAATAATAATAAGGATCTAACATTGATGTGGCTTGGTTCGCTTCCAGTTCCTGCGCTAGGGCAAGTGCTGACGGCAGATCAGCGGGCCTAGAGGAGAAGAGAACATCGCACAAAGGGCGATTGAGTCCCGAGATGAACACGCGAAGTGCATCATCCCGATATTTCTTATTAAGTGATCCTATCAGCGTAGTGTTCTCACCGTGAGTCATGATTGCTTTATTGACTATCAGAGTCAACTTTCTCTCCACTGCATCACAGAACTCCACTATTGATGATTTTCCTTGTCTAAGGGTCGATAACTCCTGTTCAATTAAGTAAATTGGTCTTTTGTCCGCATAGGCAAAGTATAGTCGAGAAATGATAGCGTGAAAATTTAAGACTGTATTGAAAGAGGATAAAACATTATCTGCGGCTCCTACTACTTTATTTCGGATTATGCCTACCGCTTGGTAGTGTCTTGAGCTACCGTGATACGCTTCGAACACTCTATAAGCAGTATGAGCTGCTTATCTCCAAGACACATAACGGGTCGCGTCGCCTTTGAATTCCGGCAAGGTTTTCACAAGCTCCAAGGATTCGTCACATGGTATTCCGGGTTGAATAGCCACCGGTTCGTATTGGGTAACACGAACTGGTGATTCGATCCTTGCTAACCTGTTTGTCAGTTCGTCAACCCGAGACTGAAATTCCCTCCGGGAATGCTTGGTCGCAGTATGAATGGCAGTATTAAGAATAGCTTCCAGAGTTTGTGCGTCCATATTTAATTTTTTCTAAGTCAGTTAAGTGTTAAGTGGATACAGGGATTTCCCTTTAACCGTTACCCACCTTTACAATATTTATTTATTATTTAAGAATTGTCAAAAATGATAGTAACACTTTTTAAACAAAGTTAGCTGCTAAAATCAATCTACTCACATGAGAATTTCCATATCCCGATAAACTATGTCACTAAATGAGGTATGATAAGGCAGCAGCACGATGATTCCTCAGGTGGTGTTCCAGCAGCAGGAAGACAGGATTACGATGATTAGGATGCTTTATTTTTTAGAGCATTGGCTCTAC